CACACACACACACACACATGCACGCACGCACACACACACACACATGCACGCACGTACACACACGCACACGCACGCAAGAGCGCAAACACAAACACGCACACGCACGTACAGGCGCACACATATAATCACTCAGAGATACACACAAGACACTCATGCACATACGGACACAGGCAGGATGGGGCCATTGCGCACCGTGTGTGCCATTGGCGGATTCGTCAAGCAGAGGCAGTAACTCTTCAGTGATGCGGTCGCGGACAGACGAAAGAGGAGGTCAGGGTGGTTGTTGTGTGGAGTCAAGCGATCACGTGAGGGACAGCCAGGCAGGGGAACACTTGAACACCACATGAAGGCTGTTCGTTGTGGGCAAGAGGCGTGGGGATGACAAGTTCGCACCGAGGGTATCGACCAAGTCTTCAGGAGAGATTTGATCGGGAGTGGTGTGGATGGATGCCATCGTTGGAGTGGGGAGGGGTTGGTGGGTGAGGGCAGTGGGGTTGTGCAGTGTGGTGGGGAGGACGGGGTCGTTGCAAAAATGTTTATTTGGGTCAGACACGTTTTTCAAAAGGGAGAATATTGGGTGTGTGGTGGGGAGCAATCTCAGGAGCGGTGAGTGGGCCACCGGGAATGCAGACGCACCCACCTCAACGACGGCAACGACGACAAACGATGGCGAGGGGCGGTGGGAGCGTGGTTGGAGGAGGCGGGGGAGGAATGACGGTGAAGGTGCTGGTGCTGATGCTGGTGGTTGTGATTGGAATCAACTTCTATTTACTGCACTCGTGCCAGCAGCACTCCAACTCCATTTTGCCGCCATGGTCAGACCAGCAGCAGCAACAGCAGCAACAACATCTGCACGATGGCAGATCGGCAGGCGGTGATGGCGTTGCTGGTGACCACGAAGACCGGGTCCGTTTGCTGCATCTTTCAGTGTGTTCTTTGAGGGCACGTCTTTTGCTTGCCTGTGTTGTGCAGTATGCTTGCGGCGTGTGGCGTGTGGTGGTGCTAAGTACGCCTGATCGAAGAGCTTGCCCCTCTTTCTGTCCACTCACACACATGATGTGCGCCCACTGCAGCGTCTGTTGGACTCAGTGCAGAACCTGGAACGACAACTCCACAATGCTGAGCACATGATCGGTGTGTATGGATGTGTGTGTGTGTGTGTGCTGATGTGCGAGTTGATGCGTTCGCGTGCGCTTCAGTGTGTGTGTGTGTGTGCGTGTGTGTGTGTGCGAGCTGATGCACAAGTTGATGCACTCGCGTGCGCTTCAGGGTGTGCGTGTGTGCTTGCGTTGGTACCAGGAGAAGCGTGATGCTCTCTCCTTCTCACTGTTAAAACCAACGGGCAACGCTGGCAGATGAGCTGCAGAAAAAGGCTGCCCGAGTGCAGGGATCCGCTGGATCTGATGAAGGAAACCACAACATGCAGCAGCAGCACCAACAGCAGCACCAACAGCAGCAGCAGCAGCAGCAGCCAGCTCAGCAACAGCACCAGCAGCACCAACAGGCAGGTGATAGGGACTCGATTGGGAGCTGGAAGCAGCAGGACGCCCAGCAAGGAGGTGACGCCGCACAGCCATGCAACCTTCCCACCCGCGCCCGAAAACCCTCCGATGTCGAGGTGCGTGCGTGTGTGCGTATGCATTCGTGTATGTCTGAGTCTGTCGAAATGTGTCAATGTTATGTGTGTGTGTGTGTGTGAGTGAGTGTCCCTCCTCTATGCGCACTCGTGCGTGCCTCCTCTATGCGCACTCGTGCGTGCCTGTTGTTTGAGTGAGCGGCAGGCGTGTGTCACGCATTATTGTCGCAGCTGACTGTGCACTGCACTGCCATGACCAGGTTGAGGTGATGTATGACACCAACCCCTTTGTTGACCCAAAGGGTGGCGCATGGACACAAGGTGCGCAAGCGCGTGAGCATATGCATCTGAACACGTCACATTGCCCTGCTTGGTGTGTTTGTTTGTATGTTGACAGTGCCGCAACATTCACATTGCTTCATTCGCACGTGCAACAACTGCTCGTGTTCATGCATCTGCAGGCTGGGAGGTGAAGTACGATGCAAACAGCTGGATCTCAGAGCCGCTCAACGTGTTTATTATTCCCCACTCGCACAACGACCCAGGTACGCACATGTATGTGATGCGATGTGATGTGGGCGTGTGTGTGTGTGTGCGTGACGTTTGCTCGTGTGCTTGCCACCTGTTGTTTGCTTTGTACCTCCACACATCGCCGTGCCTGCTGCCCCGCATAGTTGCTCACTCATCTCCACCAACCCCCTCCCCCATCCTCACACCGATTTCTGCCTTCGGCTCCAGGCTGGATCATGACTTTGGACGAGTACTACCGCAAGCAGACGTCGCAGATCCTCACACTCATGACCCAAACACTCTCCCAGGTGACCACACGCACATTGATGATTGGGGGTGGGAAAGGTCTCTGTGAACATCTGTGTGTGTGTGTGTGTGTTTGTTGTTCGTACTGTCTCGGATTTGGTCCATCTGTCTGCCCGGACCATGCCAACGTGCTTGTTCTC